GCAACAATACCTGACACAGGAAAATATCCTTGGAAAGCAGGGTGGTGCTAGGGCTTTTATGATTCAACTCCCACACCCCCTGAAAGTTTTATGCCAGAAAGAAGCAGCAGCCTTTTGCCCACGGGGCCTGTCTGGATGTGCTGCCGAACAAAGAGCTGCTGCGACCCACACCCGCCTTGCCCCGCACACACACTCTGCATTTCCTCCTTGTCCTAAAGCCAAAGGGATCAGCTTGAGGGTGCCACCGGGTTTTTGCCCTTTTGTGCAGGCTCCAGCTCTTCGTGCGAGCAGAGTGGCACAGGGAGAACAGGGAAGTGTCAGAGGGAAAAAATGTCCCCACGGCTCTGTCACTCTGCACCTGCCGGAGGAAGCACGCGTGGGAGCGGGGCATCCTCAGACCTTCGTTCAGTGCCTCAGCCCCGCGGGGTCTGTGCTGCTCTCTGCCACCCAGGCCCTTTGCTCCCACCCAGCCCAGCCCAGCTTAGCTGGGAGATGAGAGGCACGCTCCCAAGTGGCAGCTGGGTGTCTGCGTCTTTCTGCCTTTGCACGTCAGAGGTGTGAGCAAATATTAGTGTTTCAGATGCCAGGCCCAGCACTTACCTCCCCTCCCACAGGAAGCAGTGGCCTGGGGCAAATTGCACCTGCCAAGAGGTGATGAGAGCCCAGCGGACACGTTTTCAGCACTGACACCTGCTCATGTCCCCAGGAGGGAAAGGGCAGCTCCTTGCCCCAGCAGGGAGGGCATGAGCCCGCTCCAGAAAGCGGCACAGGTGCCCCCACAGGCTGGCCCAAAACCTGCATTTATCCCAGCAGCTTGCATTGATGGCTGCGGCCCCGAGGAAACCCCTTGGCTGACATTCAGCACAGCCCGGCCCCCTCCTAGCCTTACGCCCTCTGCCCCAGATGCTGCCCACAGGCAGCTGCGAGAGCAGGCTGGTTTCCCTGGCACTTGGGCAGGGAGAGCTGGCAGGTCTCTCCTCCCAGCCCACGTGCCATCCTGTTCCCCATCGGATGGGAACGGGAGAGTCCCAGCTTTGCAGCGATGTGGGTCCTCCCTGTGCAGCTCAGACGATGCCCGTGCCTCCGAGTACCCCGGCTCCCCGTCTGACACGCTACATCACGCACGGGTGTATCCCTGGCACCCAAGAGGACCACCCACCGCCACATCTTAGCCCTTGCTTGGGCAGGACCAAGCATTGCCATGCATCCCTTTAGGACAGGAAGGGAAAGGGGGGATGCATCCCTCTGAAACCACAGCCCCCAGCAGACCCTGGCTCCCAGCCCCAGGGACAGCACAGCCACGAGCTACTTACCGGAGGACGTGCCCTTCCAGGGGTACCGCTTCCACCGGGACCCTCCGCAGGCGATGACGACGGCCCGGATGAACTCCCTGCCGCACAGCTTCACCACGCGGTCGTCCTGCGCCGTGGAGCCCACGTTGGGACCCGCCATCAGGGCGACGATGGCCAGAGCCACCCAGCAGCGCATGGCTCACGGCTGGCCAGGGCACCGCGACCAGGGGCAGCTCTGCTGGGGCCTGAACCCCTGTCCCTGCAGCTCTGAGCTTCCCTGCAAGGCTCCCTGCCTGCCTGTCCCTGTTGGTTGCTCTTATCACCTCTCTGGGAGGTGCAGCCGAGGCAGCCTTGGCCCTGGGCACGGCACGGCACGCCACCAGGACATTGCTCTGCTCCCCAAGGCAATGGGGGCAGGCTGGGACCGCAGGGGCTAAGCAAGGGCATGGGGTGAGACTGCCTGTTCCCGGTGGCTTCCTGGCTGATACACCCCCTGCACACAGCCGCACAGCTCCAAGTCCTTGGAGCTGGTGCAACTGCTTCCCTCCAACAGCCTCTCCGTTGGTCCCTACCCAAGCTGTGTGGCGGGTGCAGAGATCCCACCTCAGGAACACAGCTGGGTATTCGTATCCCTCCGCTGTTTCCACCACGTGAGGCGGGCCAGTAGGGGGTGCTCCTGCGTCGAGCCGCCCACCTCCCTGCGCCCGACCACCTTCCAGGCTCCGAATGCCTCCCTAGGGCGCCTTATGTCCGGCCGACCCCTCTCCCGGAGCACACTCGCTAGTCTGGGGGTAACGTGCCGCCACCACCCCAAGAATGGACTGTCTCGCAGCCCTGTGT